GTGTCTTTGGCAGTAGAAATTTCAGTGTCTCCTCTCTCTCACTCTCTCACTCTCACCTCTTCTATCTTCTTCTCTCTCTCATCTCATTTCTTATCTTGTAATTCAGTTAAATTCATGTATTGTTTCGTTCAGTTTATTAAAGGAAATAGTTGCCTATTCGATTAAACCCACCTGAATCCATTTTGGTGTAATTGAATTTGTGAAGTTTTATTACTGATTTTGGTTGGGGATTTCTCAACCATTACAAAATTGAAAATCACAATGGAACATCCGTGAATTTTTCATGTAAACGAATTAAACCAATATAACACTGACAATTATGATATGAAATTATCAAAATAACCAATAAACGAATATAATGGCATAACCAAAAGCAAAATAATTCAGATCTGACAAAAAACATGTAACGAAGACGCATACAAACAAGAAGCCCAAATTGAGCATTTATCAACCAAAGATAAAGCAATCAATAAATGGGTATTTCCACAACAGTGGTAAGATGAAAAGGAAAAGAATTAAAAAATCAGCCCTTAAAACCTTGAGAACATTAAACTCACATTAACAAGCAGTCAAAATAGAAGACAATAACAAACAAGAAAACTGCAAAGTTGGGTAAAATAATTATAGAAAAGTCTTACATTTATATACACATAAAAGAGGGATCAAATCAAAGAATCGAATGCTTCTTGACGAGGGTGGCGAAGAAACCGATGCCAGTAGAGGGAAAAAAAAGGGTTTATTACAAGAAAAGGTGGCGGAGAAAACGTTGCATTCTAGATTCTGCCAACGTTAGTACAAATGTCGTCGTGTAATAATTATTAAATGGGAATCTGAAATGACTGAAAAATCAATGACGGCGAGATGTTTATTTGAAAGGCATATTCTTGTGTATTCTTGGAAGAAATCGGTAGAGGGTTGTCGGGTGCGTGTGCTGGGTACCCTGCTAAAAGGGCTCCAAGAACAAGTGTTTTTATTTGCCTTTCTTCCCAGTTGGAGATTTGGTGTTACAGAAGGACAGAAAATATGGTGGCGTTTTGAGTATTGACTCTAATTTTGAGTGTATATATATTGGGTAGCTTAGCAGTAATACACGTTTTTTCAAGTTCTCTTGAATGTTGGTAGGTAGGCAGGCACTGCAGTTAGGTGCATGGATGTATATGTGGGTCGCAACTCACAGCGCTCGCTTTCGAAGTGCAAGCTTTTTATTTTTTCAAAAATGAACTAAAACCAAAAGATTAAAAATTTCAGTAGGGAGACGAGTTAGCACGAATAAGGATAGGCCTCATTTTCACTATGGAATGGATCATTATTCTTTTTTTCATTGTTAACGTGAAAAATGATGATAAAATAGTTATTGTGTAAAAACTGAAAAGTGCAAATTTTAAGAATAGGGTTTTGTTTTGTCACGATAACTATAGTCGATAATAATTATACCTTTTACCTACCTTGTAAAGTATGTAAATTGAAAGCAAGTTATATTCCTATTTCTTTCATAGAGAACTAAATGGGTCATAAAAGAGTAAAATCAAACTAGACTCAAATTTTATTTGATTTCAATATGTATATATGGTTTTCAATTTTCTGCAAAATTCGAGTATTGAATCAAATAAGTAGTTCTCATTTCGAGATAGTCTCATTTCAATCATAATCAAACTGCGTCGGAGTGTTAATTTCTAAAGCGGTCGACCAAATTTTGTCAATCCCCTAATTCTTTCATCATTTCTTCTTTATTTTCAGTCAACTCTTTGGTAAAGATATATTTTTATATCCAATGAAGTCTCAAAAACTAGGACAATGCTACACTTACAAAATTGGTTCACGAAAATTTCTTTAGGAAATTATTGTTTTTACGTTAACACGCTACACAAAAAACTCCTTCAAAATGTCATTGCTAAGGCTATTTTTCCTTCTCATATTGGTCAAAGTAAAAAATATAATTTTTATTTAAAATGATTTTTTGTATATTAAATGTCGTGTCCCATCTTCCCCTCCCAATAGGTCAAAAGTCTTCTATTGGCATGTGTTTAAGTCATCACCAAACCAAAAAAATGGGCATTGTAGACATCCCTCTTTCCCATCTCCAAGCATTTTAAATTTCTCGAATATCAAATAATTTCATTATTAATTGCCATAAAATAAAAATATTTTCTTTCCAACTAAATTATATAAATAAGTTGATGACAAATATTATTACATTATCTTGTTGTGTAATGCTATTTGTACATAATGATGTATATAATGATGACATGGGAGAGGAAAAAAAAAAAGAAATTCAGTTATTATAATCTCTCTTTTTTAGGTACACCATCGTGCATTAGTTTATGTAAAAATAGCATTATTCTTGTTTACGAGGTCAAGGTCGCCTATGAAGTTGAAATCTCGTTTACGATAATCGACGAAATCTTGTTTACGAACTCCATGTTTTTTGAATTATTTTCATACTAAATATATCCAAAAAGAATAAGAAAATACCAAAATAAAGGGCCCACAAAACAACACCTAACCCCCCATTTGACTCCAACTACCTCTTTCAGCCTAATAATCCAACTACCTTCTAAGCATTGTGGCTTAAAGACATTGCTGATCTGTTTACACGCTCTTCACCTTAGTATGCAAAAAGAACATATAAAATACCATAAGAATATACTTTAGAGCAAGTTTTACTGAGTTTCAAAAAAAAAAAAAAAAGGGTATCGATACTTTTAATTATCTTTTTTTGTTTTTAAACATATTTAGATAATTTTTTTTCTTAATTATTAGTAAAAGTTACATTTCTTAAATTTTATGTTTTTATCTTGTCGTATTGAATATGGACAACAAGTATTATGGGTTTTGTGGGGTGTGCAAAAATCATTAGTGGCATCTTTTGCATAATCAATCCCACGCCTAAAGTATTATTACTACCTTGTAGTGAAATGTTTCGTTATTTTGGAGGAACTGAAATTTGCAAGTTCACAATCATTATAATCTTAAATAAGTCAAACTCAAGTATTGTGATTGAGACACTGAGAGGGTCGTTCGTTCAAGCTTTGGAGGGTGCTCTGTTATAGAATATTATCTCTTTTAGTTTACTTTCCGTCGTTAGATCGTCACTTTATTCGGCGAGAGGCAAACGATGCATTCTAATGCCATGTTATTTTTTCAAGATAAGTGTTGGAAAGGAAAGCTATCATCTTTCCTTGCTACTATTGTATCAACTCAAATGTTCGAGATTAAATCCCACTTGTATTAAGCCCCTGTCTATTTATCATTATATGAACACTTTTTTCTTAAAACTTGTTTTCAACCATATATTTTCACAATAAAACATATTGCACATAAATTCAAAATCTTTTTTTACTTTTTAATCACACATTCTCCAAAAAATTACTATTCTAAAATTCATTTTTCTCAAAAAATTTCTTTTTAATGGAAGACAAATGAGGGTTAAAATTTTTTCAAGAGTATATAATAATATTTTAAATATTATCCTTGGTCGTATAAAACTAAAATTAACTTATAAGTAACATAATTAAGCATCGTCAAACATTCCTAGCATTGATCCTTTTTGGGGCGTGTGGGTGGGGATTGTCACATTTTGAATACAATATTATGGATCCGTTTGAATGGAATTTGGGTGGAAAAAAATAAATTTCGAGGAATTGAATTGCATAAAACTTGTTTTATTGAGAATTGTCAATTAATTGTATTTCATTGGTATAATTTTCCATTAGAGAGTATTGAAATTTTGGATCTTTTGGTGTTCGTTTAGTTTTGTTTTCCATGAAAATTGTTGATATAATTTGTTATAATTGGGGATATAATTTGTTTCCATTACAAAAAAAAATTAAAAATAAAAATAAAAGTTGCCTAGAAAAGCTTGTTCTCAAAAATCAAGAAAATGTGAGTATGTAAGTAAAAGATGGAAAACCAATTCCATTGAAAATTTGGGCAATCAAACATGCAAAAAGGTGGGAAATGAAATTTAATTGGGAAAAATTCATAAGTAAGAGGATAAGTATCTCCTATTTCAAAACTAAGAAAACAAGTTTAGAATTTCAAAAATCAGATTTTTATTAAAATTTATTATGATTTAATTATTCATTTAATTAAATAAATAATTAATTATAATGATGTCATAATTATACAATTAATGGTCACAAGAACACAATTAATTGGTCACGGATTATTTTTGAAGTCACAAATCAAAAATTTTATAGGTCACGAATTATTTCGAATAAAAAATTTTATAAGTCACGAATTATTTCGAGATCACAGTTCAGAACATTTATAGGTCACAGTTTGTTTATCGGTCACAAATCCAAATTTTTGGAAGTCACGAATTATTTCACGATCACAAATCAACAATTTTATAGGTCACAGATTATTTTATTGGTCACGGATCAAAAAATTACAGGTCACAGATTAATTTTTAGTCATAGATTGTCGAATTTTAAGGTCACAGATTAATTTTTAGTCACAAATTGTAGAATTTAAGGTCATAGATAGTCCACCATCACCGGCATCTCACCACTGCAGCACCTAATCACCACTACCTACTACACACCATCACCGGCATCTCACCATTTCAGTTCCAGTACACTCGCCTGCACCAGCCNTGACGTATTAAAAGTTCCTCTATATTTAAATTCTTAATTTAATAGAATTATTGATATATAGAAATCTACACCACCTTCTCTTCTTCTCTATTGCTCTCTGATTCCACCTCCCTTTCTCCTTTTGTTGTTAAGTTCTTCATCACCCAGTTTATCGATATGCCTCTTATTGGGAAGATATTATTTGTAGGTTGCTTTGTATGACTTTAAAAATACTGAGAGAAGTCAGATGGTCTTGCAAATTCACTGTCCTTTGACAAATTCAAATAATAACTTGTTTAGCATGCAGAAAATTTAATAGGATATCAGTTATTGCTACTGCCATTTTATTTTAATGTGAAGATTTAAAGAAATGATGCACACAACATTTTTATCCATCTTTATCAGTGCTTGACGGGACAAACAATGGCGACCCAGCCAAAAGAAGAGGATGTTTCACAAACTGCAGATAGCCAGCAAGAAGCAACACATATGACTGTCGGGTGGGGAGGGAAAATAGAAGAGCAGTATAGGAAGATCAAGGAACATGCAGAAACATACCCCTATGTATGGGGTTCCTATATCCTTGTATACGGAGGGTTTGGTCTCTGGTTGACGTACAGGTGGAGAAAGCTCCGAAAAACTGAGGACAGAGTTCGAGGTCTTCAAGAGCGACTCCGCAAGCTTGTTGAAGCTGAACAGTTGACGAATTCTGTTTCAGCAAAAGAGCAATCTACGAACTCTTCTGTAACAAAGAACGGACCTCCGTCTGCCGATAAGTAGAGCAAATATTGGTTTATTCTACAATCAATTTAATGCTTTTCCAATGAATTTTCTTTACGGTCGTAGTCTCTCAAATATTGTTTTATTCTACCATCAAATTAATGCTTTTCCAAAGAATTTTCTTTGCGGTCGTAGTCTCTCAAATGCTTTGTAGTTTGGATAAGCTGAGTGCAAATACAGTTATCCTTAGTTTAGTCATGCCTAAAGGCTGAAGAGCTTGGAATTTGTTGTATCTTACATTTATCGGCACATGCTTCAAACACTTAAGGTCCGTTTGATTGTAAGAATGAAATTGGGTGGAAAGAAAATGAATTTCAGGGAATTGAAATGTCTAGAACATGTTTTACTTAGAATTGTTAATTAATTGTGTTTGATTGATATAATTTTTCACCTAAAAAATATTGAAATTTTGGATCTTTTGGTGTTCGTTTGGCTTTGTTTTCTATGAAAATTGTCCATTAAAGAAATATAATTTGTTACAATTGAGGATGTAATTTGTTTCTATTGTCAAAAAAAAATTTTAAAAATTTTAAAAAAATTGCCTAAAAAAGCTCTTCCCATTGAAATGGTGAGAAAAACTTTTCCTCAAAAATTAAGAAAATGTAAGCATGTGAGTCAGTGGGTGAAAGATGAAAAATCAATTTCATGGAAAATTTGGGCAATCAAACATGCAAAAATGTGGAAAAAGAAATTTAATTTCCATCTTCCATGGAATTGAAGTGCAATAAAAAAGGGCCTATAGTGAGATACATACAATTTGTACATGGTATAACACTTAGCTTTTATCAATAGAATAAGAATTCTAGATTGTCATTTCTACTTGTGTAATACAAAACAATTTTAAAAAATGGAGAAACAATTTTGACATTTAAATGTGAAGCCTTTCAATTTTGTTTTAATTTACTATATAGTAGACAACTTGTAACATTCTAGAATAAAATTTATTTGTTTTATTAAGGTTTCTTGCTAAAATAGAAACGATTTCAACTACCGTTACAAACAAAATTGTTGAAAATTGTGCTTATTTAAAAAATGACAAAGTTAATTTGTTGAAAATGATAAATCGATGTTCAATTATTGTGTAGCTACTACATAATATGTATAAGAACCAGAAGTTACACATCACTATACAAAAATCTAAACAATTAGGGCCAATAAAATCCCACAAACCAGCACGACAAGAATTAATTACTTTAAGAAATTTCAAGATGACATTTACACCTCTAGCCTCACCCCTCTAAATAGGAGCCCCATTTCATTTCAAAAAATAAAAAAATAAAAAAATTGAAAACTTTATTGGAAAAAGGTAACGTAGTGTTAATTAATTATTTTACTTACTTTTAAATGTGTAAAATTGTAAAAAATAAGAGTAAAAATCCCTTCGACGAAGGGCACCTCCAAGAGTATTAAACCCGAGATGCCAATCGACCCCAGGAATAGTGTGTGAACACCCTAGCCTTAGCGTGTCTATTCCATGCTTGTAATACCACAAATATTTATGAATGGCCTAGATGCAAAGATTGATATTTTGGGGATCAAATTGGATTCTTTCAATTCTATAGAGACCCAAGAGAAAATCATGATAAATAAGATTCAATCCATTGAATGATGAACTTAAGACCTATTGTCGATAATAATGAATCATTTGATGATTTAAAGTAATTTTGAAATTAATTGCAATATTTGAAAAGTTCATGAATTAAATTGTAATTAGCAAAATTACATGTTTATTATTTCCAGGCTTATTGTATATTTTCAAGGATGATATTAAGACAATGTTTGAAGATTTGAGGCATTGATATAATTTTGACAAGTTTGAGGACTAATATGCAGTCTTGTAAAATTTAGGAACTAGAGTGCAATTTTGAATAAATATTATTATTTGATGACTTTTTTTGGTTGAAAATAAACATATTTGGATTGATTTGGAAATTTTTTGAGATCGTTTGAAATTTTAGACCTTAATTGTGACAGTTTGGGTCGGCTCAGGTTTTTGGACATTATAACGTCAAATATGATGGAGAGTAATCCAAGGGCTGCTAAGTGCTGTTTGAGGGCTTAAAATTCAGTTGCCCAAGAAAAAGTTAACGTATTCATCAAATGATACATGATATTATATGATAAAATTTGCATTGAGGAAATGAGGAGTCTCTAAACCTTTCATTTAGATTTCTTAAATCATAAAAACTAATTATAATTTCCTATTAAATGAGCTCGAATCACAAAGAATCGGACACTAAGCCAACAGAATCAATTACACAGCCACACGAACACTTCACACAGATATTCACTTAGAATATCTCCACAAAGAATCACCCTATTACACACTACCAACTCAAATCAAGTATTTGATTTGGATTTACAGAGAAGAATCAGAGAGAAGATATCAAACGGCGCAGCCAAAGAGAGAGAACAAGAGAATGGAATGAACCCTAGAAAACGACTCTTAGAGATAATGCCAAATGAAATGACATTAAGTATTAGAACCATCCAGAAGCCAATCCAACGACTGCAATAGGTCCACGTGTCAATCATCCAGTGAAGCCTTTAGTTTAAGCAAAGTTGCACTTTCAGTAACACGATTTTGCCAAATTATGGGAGTAGCCAATTGAACCCGGTTCAATTCCAACACATTACTTACTCAAATGAATGCAAGTACGTTTAAAGTATTTAATTAATATTAATGTATTTAATCGTGTTTGTGTTTTAGGAGGTAATTTTATAGTAATGCAAATTAATAATTTTATAGGCACATAATTGATATGGTAGGTGTTTGGTTGAGGCATTTGGGGATGGCGTGTTGGAAATTGATCCATAGAAATTAGAAAAAAAAAAAAAAATTTGGTTGAGGCATTTGGGGATGGCGCGTTGGAAATTGATCCATAGAAATTAAAAAAAAAAAAAAAAAAAAAATCAATCTGGACTAGGTACTCCTAATTAATTATGCCCTCTCTCTCCAACTCCAATTATCACTATGAGATCATCTCACTAAAGACCCAAGATTGCTCAGTTCTCTACAATTATATCATGTTGACTTGCTGTCCCCATGTCTTACTGCTGTTCGGACATCGAATAATTAGTGTAGGACCAAAATGACCATTTTTCCCTAACTAATTATGATCCTACTTAAGCTCGCATTTTCGTCCAAGATTTCCGTACAATCAATCGTGAATTATTTAGCCCTCGCTAAGTACTAAGTTTAGATTAAAATTGCTCAGCAGAAATACCTAAGCAGAACTTATTAGTCCATCCGTATGGGCAGTGGACTCTGAATGGGATACATGATCACTACATTTTCTTTCGGCTCTCAACGTAGTAAGATGTTTGACCATATAATTAGATTTCACTCGTTGATAGATTAAGGACTTTAGAGTTCAAGAATATAAATTACTATTGAGATACGAATTTTGGTAGTCCATAAAGCAATCATCTAGATTTTAATTCTTCGCGCGATTATACTATAGACTTAAACTGTATAAAGTAGTCCTATTCAATACGCTCTTAGATATACTACTATACTACTGTCGCTATTCTTGAGATCATCTCACTACGGTCAAGACGAATCGCATACCTACAATTGGTAGACTAACTGACACTACGACTTTATTAGAAAAGAATATTAACCTCTAGTCACCGATCTAGGATAATTGATTCTCAATTGATATATATAAATAGTGTATGTCTATACTTCTCAGAGCAAGCACCTAAATTGTATGTCATTCGTCAATCAGACACTTGATTACATGCTCAATAAAATGCACTAATTTGTTTAAAGCATAAATTAACAAAAAAAAATTTTAAAAATAACATTAGGAAGGCCATAATACTTTTGAGCACAGATACAAAACGGTGGTCATATTTTGTAAGATAAATAACTATTTTAAAAACTAACAACTTGAAATGAAATTTTTATTATGTTTGCATATATTACAAAATTGTGTTACGGTTCTATTTAAAGCCTATTTATCATGGAATGATATTTTTACTCACATAACTATTACTTGTCAACGATTCTATATGCTTGCGAAATTTTATTGAACAAATTTTTGGTGTCATTGTCGAGAAATAAAAAATTTTAAACTGAATACACTGATTCGTAATTGGATATGAAAATTTATTGTTGTTTTTTGGCTACTCATCACATACATGATCTCTTTTGTGTCTTGTGTTCTTTTTCAGATAATATATAATAACTTATGTAAGATTTTGACAAACTAGCTTTTATAATTATATTTCGAGATCGAAAGAACCTTTATTCAAAGAAGTAGAGAATGGAGAATAGCAAGAAAAAATAACGGGAAGTATAAATGGTCAAAAATCTATTACCAGTTGCTCAGCCAATTATAAAGGCCGTCGATGAAGGCGACATGCTAATGGGGACTATTTGATCCCTATTCCAACACCTACGTGGTCCAGCATCATTTATCCTCCATTCTGACAAGCTAATTACCATCTTGGATTAGATATCATCAACTTGTTCCAGATTTATCAAGATATCAAGTTATATGGAAAAGCATACGAAAAACCTCGTGAGCCTCAAAGGAAGGCTGGTGGATACATTCGATTGTGTATATTTCCTCATACGTTAAAGGATGTTACAAGAGAATAGTTACTTTCACTTCCTGTTCTGAAGCATCATATCTTGCAATGACATGGTGCATAAATTTACAATGAAATTCTTTCCACCATCTTTACTCCACAAATTAGAAATGAGAAACACATATTGAAGCAACGTGAACTTGAGAGCTATCGAAAAGTATAGGACACATCACTGATCTACTTGGGAGTTGTCTCAACCACGACATAGCAGACATGCACATGTTTATTATTTCTATCAAGGCCTACTGCCTGAATACTAAAACATAGCCGATGCTTCAACAAACGGACCAATTTGGACAAAAAAGTCAATGACAATTCAAATTCTTCATAAGAATAGCAAAAAATCTAGCTATGTGGTCATTTGATAGGAAAACATTAAAGAAAATAGCAGGGCTTCACAA